CGTTAAAAGAGAGAAGGAAGGAGGGAGAGAAAGAGGCGCTAAAGGCGTGGAAGGAGGAAGGAGTGAGAATGGAGGAAGATGAAAAAATAGTAATTAAAAGGAAGGGGAGAAAGGGTCGTTAAAAGAGAGAAGGAAGGAGGGAGAGAAAGAGGCGCTAAAGGCGTGGAAGGAGGAAGGAGTGAGAATGGAGGAAGATGAAAAAATAGTAATTAAAAGGAAGGGGAGAAAGGGTCGTTAAAAGAGAGAAGGAAGGAGGGAGAGAAAGAGGCGCTAAAGGCGTGGAAGGAGGAAGGAGTGAGAATGGAGGAAGATGAAAAAATAGTAATTAAAAGGAAGGGGAGAAAGGGTCGTTAAAAGAGAGAAGGAAGGAGGGAGAGAAAGAGGCGCTAAAGGCGTGGAAGGAGGAAGGAGTGAGAATGGAGGAAGATGAAAAAATAGTAATTAAAAGGAAGGGGAGAAAGGGTCGTTAAAAGAGAGAAGGAAGGAGGGAGAGAAAGAGGCGCTAAAGGCGTGGAAGGAGGAAGGAGTGAGAATGGAGGAAGATGAAAAAATAGTAATTAAAAGGAAGGGGAGAAAGGGTCGTTAAAAGAGAGAAGGAAGGAGGGAGAGAAAGAGGCGCTAAAGGCGTGGAAGGAGGAAGGAGTGAGAATGGAGGAAGATGAAAAAATAGTAATTAAAAGGAAGGGGAGAAAGGGTCGTTAAAAGAGAGAAGGAAGGAGGGAGAGAAAGAGGCGCTAAAGGCGTGGAACAATAACAACAATAATAATATGATGATGATAATGATTACGACATTATCAAAGTCGCCATCGTTATCGTTGTCGTTGTTGTTAATGATAAGGATGAAAATGATGACGATGATAATAATCATAATTGTAATCATAATTATAATTATGGTGCTGATGATAACAATGATAACAATAATGATAATGGTGATTATTATTATTAATATTAGTGTTATTGTTTTCATTATTTTTGTTGTTATCATTATTATCATACTAGTAGCAGTAGTATAACAAATACAAAGCAGCAATAAAAATAATAGTAATGATAATGTTATTAATTACATTGATGATGATAATGATAGCATCTATATTTTTTTAACAAACTAGCAAGCTTTCCAACTATTTAAAAAATCTCACTCCCTCCCCTCACTCCTCCCCCCACCCTTAAAATCCCCACTCCCTCCCCTCACTTAAAAAAAAAAATAACTCGCTCCCATCTCTCCCTCCCCCTCACTCCCTCCCTCTCCCTCTCCCTCACTCCCTCCCTTCACTCCCTGAGACGTTCCATCTGTAAGTTCAAAAATCAGTCACGCAAAAATATGTGGACATAAAATTTTACCGCGCCCTGTTATTCTTATGGGCAACGCTATGAACAGAAAATGGAATTAAATTATCAGAAGCCACAAGTTTATGAACAAACAAGAACAAATTACCGAGGTCACAGAAATCTGTTCAGGAGAATATAACAACCGTTTTTTTTAATAAGGTCGTCATCGCTTACGAGTCAGGAGATTTTCCCTCTTTTATTCATTTCTGTGACAAATTTCAGAGGTTTTAAATAAGCCTAAGTTCAGAAGGTTTAATAACCGTCTTTTCTAGGGAAGAATTCAGACGGGTCAAGGACTTAAGAAAAAAAAAAAAAGGGTTAGCCGAGGAGGAAAAAAAATGACTATGACCCTGCGCCATTTACCCTTCAAAAGTTACGAGTCCTTGGAGGCTCTTTGGTAAACATGCCGATCCTGGAGGCAAACACCGGCCCGGAATCTGGTGTTCGTAGCTCCCTTCCATAAATTACGCTCTTGAGATGAGACACGCAGTGGCCGGGCCTTTTTATGGGGCGGAGGCGTGAAGGTTTGATAAAGAAAGGTGATGATCCCGCGCTCTCTCAACACCGCCATTGTGGCGGGAGATTTGCGCGCGCTTTTTTTCCTTTCTTTCTTATTCGTCTTCTTTTTTTATTCCTTTCTTTTTCTCCTATTCTGTTTCATATCTCTTGTCTATCTCTCTCTGTATCTTCATGACGAGTATTTCAAGGGTTCTCTATCGGCTCTGAGGTTTGCTAAGAGAGAGGAGCCGAACGCCCATTCAAATTAGACAGCTCTTAATGTCACTCAAATTGGCGGCTTTTCTTTGCTATCTGTCGGCCGAGTTAATCCGATGCACCTTAATCTAGGATAAATTTCCCTTTGATTTATTGGCTGAGCAACAAAAACATTTTCCTGAACCCCCTTTTTTGCGATAAGGGTCGTATCTCAATTGAAACGAATGACAACTTGATTCTTAAGCGCACTGCCGTGATTAGTATCTCTGTGCGCGCGTGTGTCTGTTGTGTACATGTGTATGAGTGTGTGTGTGTGTGTGTGTGTGTGTGTGTGTGTGTGTGTGTGTGTGTGTGTGTGTGTGCATGTGTGTGTGTACATGTGTGTGTGTGTGTGTGTGTGTGTGTGCATGTGTGTGTGTACATGTGTGTGTGTGTGTGTGTGTGTGTGTGTGTGTGT